TGGTCAGATACAGTTAAAGGAATGTAATGATTTTTTTTTTTTTTATTAATTTTCCATTTTTTTAAAATTTAGAATAGACCCATAATCTGTTGTCATTTTGAAGATTAATTTTCATTAGAAATGAATATTCTTAGTAATTTTCACATTTATTTGGATAAAATGTCATTTAATGATAAAAGGAAATTTCCTAAATATTTAAAAGAAATTCTTAATAGAATATTCATTAGTCAAAGACAATTTGGAAAAAGAACCCTCCTTTTTATACGCCCGTTTATGAGAGGTACAAATGTATTATGGTATACCGTTGTCCATCCGTCTGTCTGTCCGTCCATCCTAGATAACCACAGACCTTTGATTACAGCAATCCTTAAGTTCAGATAACTTGCACAAGGAGAGTTTGAATTCTCAACCTGAATGCAGACTTACTTGTGCATTTACTTTATATTTTTGCTCTCATACTGATATTTTGTTTGTAATTATGACGTTTACTTACATTTAATATCATAAAATAAATATTAATATCTATTAAACAGATTGATATGTTATTATAGTGATGAATTTAACTTTAACATGTTAAGATACTGAAGTAAATGAATAAATAAATAGAAAAATTTCTTTGAACATATGTTGCTGTATATGATTATGACCTTTTCTTATCAGACATATCATATAAAGTCATTAAAATAAATTATTTATTTACATAAAAAGTCTAAATTTTTTTGTTTTTTTTTATTGAAGCTTATATACATACTTTTGATTATTTAAGATTGAAATAAGAATAATTTCAATTTCAAAAAAATAATAACAAATATCTAAAAACAAACTTAAGTATACCGGTATACATTATGGGATTTTCTCATGATTGAAGGCTTTAGTGTAGCATAAAATTGCTTATATCCACTCCATTTGATTTTTTGGGGATAGTTGTCTCATTGGCAATTATTTCACATCTGATTAGTTTTACATTAGTGAAATTAGAAACTAAATTAAAACTTGGACCACATAAGGGAGCTACCATTTGATTTTTAGGGGGGGGGGGGGGGGGGGGGGGGCTAGGATGAAATTTAAAAAAAAAAGGCAGGACAGGAGTTTTGAGTTAAAAAAACAGGCAGGATGAGCAACTTGGCAAAAAAAAAAGGCAGGATGACATTTTATGTAGAAAAAGTAAGGATAAACTAATAAAAAAAAAGGCAGGACCGACCAGAGTGAAAAATAAAAAGGCAGGACAGAGATTACAACTAAAAAAATCAAATGGTAGCTCCCTAAGAATCAGTAGACAATTAAAATGTAAATTGTAATTTCATATGACAACTCTAGAGAAGTTGGGAAATTATTTTCATTTAATATCATATGCATAAATTATATATTTACAGATACATGTAACAATAGAAAATAAGGAATAAAGAAGAGTAGGAAACATTTCCATTTTGAGGATTTATGGAACAGAGGACTATTTGACTTGTTTTTACTTTAACTTGGACTTTTTAACAATAATTATGCTTCTTAAATTTTAAACTTTATTGTTATGTGTTTGGTTTTTTTTTTTAACTTTCAACGTATTTAAGTTGTATTAAATTTTGTTTATTTGATTGAAGCTTATTTACTTATAATTATTTAAGATATTATTTACATATGTTTCAATTTAACATTATTTTTATGCATTTGTATTTATTTATCTTTTAATAAACTTTTTTTTCTTAACATTTTTATATTTTTATATATACAAAGTGAAACACCATAATCATTTTATATTGATGACATGGTGTAGATGTACATGAGACAATGCTGCTGCTGCAATACAATACAACATTCATAGATGCAAAGCAAGCACATTAGCCATATACATGTATGTACTGTAGTATTTGAGACATAAAAAAATATCAAAGATGTAAAAGGTCTACTTTAATGATTTATTAGGTGTGAAGGACTTAAACAGAGTGGTTTTAGAATCGTTCAGTTCTCCCAGAGGTATCCTTGATGTCTCTCTAGTGGCCTCTCATGACATGACTTTTCACTGTTATATGCTTCCAGGGAGATTTTGAAGTGTGGTGACCCCTGCACCTAAATAAATCATTTTCAGCAGATACATATCTCTGTTTTCAGACTATTTGATGAAAAGTTTAAACTAATATTCAAATTAGAAAAACGAAAACTGAGCAACTTGAACCCACAAAATACAGATGATCTCAGGTACTCTGGAAGCAGATCCTGCTCTATGTGTAGTATTTAGAATGAGATGCCTAGGTGCCCTTTTCCTATATGTAATCACATGATTTTGCAAATTATTGTGTGCTTTTATTATTGCAAATTTGAAGAATGGAATAAAATGTATAAAAAGTATTGCTTTTGCAGAAAAATCAGCACACAGATATAGGAATGGTATATATCTATCTGATTTAAGTATAGATCCTGTGTCCAAGCTTTGTTTTCTTGTAATAAGCTTGGACATAGGATTTGCATTTTAATCAGATTAAAAGGTATCGGAATGCAATTTATTATTTAGATACTCACCCACTCACATTATTGCAGTAATAAAAACTTTGCTATCCTTTCTGAATTTACAGTACCTAAAAATTTCCATCATGATAGACCTCGAAAAAGATTAGTGTGAAATTAAAGTTGTGGGTCGAAAAATTAACATCAACGCAACAAAACAGGATCACCAAAAATCAGAGTGAGACATTCATATGCAATCTTCAAAGCAAACCTCAGAAGCAATATAGCTTTTTTTAATGCTCTTAATGGTCATATAGCTCTCACTTGTATTAAGACTTGTATGTACTAGGCATTGAGCATACCTGTTGAAGGTTAATCCAGGAAAGCCCTTGGATGCATTCAATTTAAAAAAAAAAATTTTCATTTTCAATGAAGGAATAGTGTAATTAATGAATGCTATATTTGAAAAATACCATTGTTAATGTTAATTTCTTCAGCAGCAGCATATCTGGGTTGAACTATATTTTTTGGGAAAAGTTGTTTTTAAAAAAACCCATATTGACATGATTGACAATTGATAGAGGATGATAATTATAGGTAACAGTTTTAGCCTTCAACAATTTGCAAACCAATTTGTGAAGTATAAAGGACCTTATAAAACAGCATGTGATAAAAATTCTAAATCCAGAACTAATGATAAAATAAATACAGCTACTATATATATATAATAATATGGAAGAAAAACAAATTTGATGAATGGCCACTAAACTTTTTCAAAACATTTCTTTAAGAACATGCACACAATTTGAAAACACAATGACAAATATTTGTTACCAGGGCCCAGACACACTTAAACATGAATGGTTAGTGTACAACAGGTTCCTTGATAAGGACAGGCAAAATACAAATGTTTGTGTGTTAACTTCCCACTTGCATAGTTTTATTCATACAATAAGAACAAAGACTAAAAATCAAGTGAAAATTATTGACTCATCAGATTTTCATGTCACAGTGGCAGGCAGGCAATATTTGTTGATTGATACTTTTAATATTTTTAAAATTGACAAGTTGACACATTTCAGGTAAATATTTACAGAAACAAAGAATGACTTAAAAAAATGGCTTAAAACAGACATTAGCTGAGTGTTTACACTTTGCATTTGTGCAAGCTTTTCATTCAGACAATATTTTTTGCCCAACTGAAATTTCTTGAAAGTGGGAAAAAGGGGGGGGTGTCAACGTATATTTGTTCCGCCTAACAGAAGTTCCACTGGAAACTTTGTTATAAACAATGTCATAATATCTGTTCCTGTTGGAACAAATATTCTATACCATTTATTCCGTAAGGAACATTTGCTGTAATATTTATTCCAGTGGAAATAATATTCCAGAATATTTTTTCCATTTGGAACTTATATTATGAAGGAACTTCTATTCCGTGACAATGGGGGGGGGGGGGGGGGGCTTCCAGACAACTGAAGTCATTTATATGGAAAAATTCATTCATAGAATAAACCAGTTTCAATGTACTACATAAATCTGTTATACACTGCAGCATAATTAAACAAATAATTAAATAAATGCAGAAAATTATTGAAACAAGGAGTCTGAGCAACATGAAAAAAATCAACAAATGACGGAGTAAAGCCTTCAACCTATCAACATTTTTATGTAAAACATATTAAAAATCCAGGAAACATCATCACACTTCATTGTCTGAATCAATTTCGTGGTTAAAAACTGGTAAAATTGACATCATTTGCTCCATTTTGCAATGAAATAACGCCAAAAACGTTAGAAAAATGTTGAATTTTGACCTCCGGTTGAGGTATTTATTATGTAAACAAGACTCGAAGTGACGGGGAATTCTTTACATAGTCATGTGCCCATGTGTTTCTGGGTCACATTTATTTATATCTCAACCAATGAAAAGCTTTAGGATGCAATTGTGTCAGTTATTTTCAGACGGGGGTATTACCCGCGGTTTTTTGGAAACCAACGGAGGTAGTCTTTTGATTGATCATATTTCAATAACGAAGCACTTATTTTAATATATTTTTGGCAGTCGTGTGACAAAATCTATTCTGATGAAGATTTAACCGCAAATACTGTTGGATGATAAGTCGTTTTGATAAATTTATTGTCTGAATCATATGCTACGTTTTTGTTTACACGCTGATTACAGCGCCACCTCGAGATTTTTAGATTATGTCCCCTTTCCCGCGTGACCACCGGAAAGAACTCTTCAATGTCACTGGCTTTCCCACTGAGAAACGAATTTCAGGGTAAATGTTGATAATGGGCTCTCGGTATAATGGAGGGATCTTGATTCATTCGATATTCTGTTCATTTATTGACGGGATTCGATAAATTATTCAAATTTCAGATATTTGTTACAGTCTAGTTTCGTTTTGACCACCATGACCACGTGTATATCATGCTTGCCAACAACTGAACTCGTTTTTATCTATAAGTATACAGTTTTTTTATTTCTGAAGCGAATGATTAACAAAACAAGCAACGTATGTTTCATAAATAATACATATTTGGAGGCTCACACTTACTTTTCTGGTTAGATTTTCACAGAGAAGTGAAAATAATTTTCGCTGCAAGGTTCTTTCCATTCTGCAAACTACAAACATCTATTTGACGGCGATCGTCTACTGATTGGTTAATCTGCAAAAGGAGGCGGGGTCCACAAGCCGACAATATCGTCAACAAAAACAGCTATTGCAACTGTTTGCCATAATAATTAAAGCACAAACATACAATATTCGTGTTTTGATAAACAAATTACATCATATGTATGCCCGTTTTTAGTTAACAGGCATGTATGTAATTTGATTTCATACAGTTTCATCGATAGACGCAGCTTACGGAATCTTCGCCATTAATGAATATATGAATACATAATGAGGTCCTTACGGGGTTATCTGCCCCTGACAAAATCTTATCGAAATTGCCTTAACATCGCTGCGCTGTTTCTAAAGCAGTGATTTCAACAGTGATAAGTGCTTATCATGTCTCATATTTTGTGGTAATTAATCAGTAGGTATAGGAAACACTATTCCAATTGAAGGCGAAGACGACAAGTAATTATGCTTCATAATAAGGTTTCCTTTGCACTTCCTCAATTTTCATATTCTAACCTGAATTTAATGTAGCAGTTGCTTTTGAACCAGGATGTTACGTCATCTGCTTTAAAATGGATGCACTTTATGTTGTTTGTGTATAATCACAGAAGGATATAACTAGTTTGACACAAGGTAAGAAATGGTTACTTAGATGTATATTGATTATTAATGATTGAAATATAAATGTGAATGCATATTTTAAAATCAACGTTATGGTGGTGGTGAAATATGAATATACTTAATGTTGATGTCAGCTTAGAAAAGCGAGCTGTATCTAGTAGACACTATTTTGAAATTTTGAATCAAAATCGAAATTTTGAAATAAATAACACACTCTTAAAAAAAATTGTGTCTTGACACAATGTCAATATGAATGAAAATTGATTCTTGTGCATTTTTATATGTTTTATATATGTTGTTTTGTGTATTGATAATTTGTCCTAAGGCTTATACATGTTATATTTATGTGTATAGGTAACAGTAATTTGCATTTGTGATAAAATATTTGTTAACTTTCCATAGTCTGTTGTTTATATATGGAACAAGTCTCGTCTCGTCTATGGCATCAGAGCTGGAGTGATAATGTACATGTACATGTAAATCAAAGCAGAGACTTCTCCCTTTGTTTACCTGCAACTTATTCTAATTGTTACATTAATTGTTATCCAGAAAAAGACATACCTGTGATATTGGCTACTGGACGTGAAAAAAAAACAATTAGTAAGAACGAACTGGAAGTTGTCAGATAAGTGCCGTAATATTAAATGTAGATATGGTATGCGATTGATGTGAATTCGACTTTGGCGTTATGTTATTGATTGGGGAGTCCGTCCGTTCGTGTGTCCTTTCCATTTTGTATCCACATCCGTTCCTGAACAGAATTTTAAGAAACTTTCAAAGAATCATGACAAATTTTGCACCTCTTATGTCAGTTCTTCACCGAAATGATTTTGGGGTTTACATCGGCATAACATAATGATTTTGGGGGTTTTATTTGGCATTACACGATGATTTTGGGGGTTTACTTTGGCATAATATGATGATTTTGGGGGTTTATATGGCCTAACATGATGATTTTGGGGATTTACTTTGGCATAACATGACGATTTTGGGGTTTCACTTTGGCCGCATAACATGACGATTTTGGAGGTTTACTTTGGCATAACATGACGATTTTGGGGGTTTATTTTGGCATAACATGATGATTTTGGGGGTTTACTTTGGCATAACATGATGATTTTGGAGGTTTACTTTGGCATAACATGATGATTTTGGAGGTTTAGTTTGGCATAAAATGACGATTTTGGGGGTTTACTTTGGCATAACATGATGATTTTGGAGGTTTACTTTGGCATAACATGACGATTTTGGGGGTTTACTTTGGCATAACATGATGATTTTGGAGGTTTACTTTGGCATAACATGATGATTTTGGAGGTTTACTTTGGCATAACATGACGATTTTGGGGGTTTACTTTGGCATAACATGATGATTTTGGAGGTTTACTTTGGCATAACATGACGATTTTGGGGGTTTACTTTGGCATAACATGACGATTTTGGGGGTTTATTTTGGCATAACATGATGATTTTGGGGGTTTACTTTGGCATAACATGATGATTTTGGAGGTTTACTATGGCATAACATGATGATTTTGGGGGTTTACTTTGGCATAACATGATGATTTTGGAGGTGTACTTTGGCATAACATGATGATTTTGGGGGTTTACGTTGGCATAACATGACGATTTTGGAGGTTTACTTTGGCATAACATGATGATTTTGGAGGTGTACTTTGGCATAACATGATGATTTTGGAGGTTTACTTCGGCATAACATGACGATTTTGGAGGTTTACTTTGGCATAACATGATGATTTTGGAGGTGTACTTTGGCATAACATGACGATTTTGGGGGTTTATTTGGCATAACATGATGATTTTGGAGGTTTACTCTGGCATAACATGACGATTTTTGGGGTTTACTCTGGCATAACATGACGATTTTTGGGGTTTACTTTGGCATGACGATGATTTTGGAGGTTTACTTTGGCATAACATGATGATTTTGGAGGTGTACTTTGGCATAACATGACGATTTTGGGGGTTTATTTGGCATAACATGATGATTTTGGAGGTTTACTTTGGCATAACATGATGATTTTGGAGGTTTACTTTGGCATAACATGACGATTTTGGGGGTTTACTTTGGCATAACATGATTATTTTGGAGGTGTACTTTGGCATAACATGATGATTGTGTGTTTAAGGTTTACGACATATAATCTAGATACACAAATTGAGAAGTTCGTGCGCATGTTAAACTGGTTTAACTCTATCACATTTTAAGCCTGTACATCTTTATATTTTTTTTTCTACTAGTAAAATTAATACAAAAACTATAGATAAAAAGTCAATATATTTTATATATACGAATTATCAACCTGTTATTATTATAACATGACGTTGACCATAGATGAAAAAGGTCGGACACTTACCATTGTTCTTTAGGAGAGAAATCTGTTGGGAGTGTATTTGAACGTTAAATTTGGGGAAAATTAAGATAGTATCTAAAAACACTGTAAAAGTCAATGTGTTGAGCAAACACTGTCCAATAAACCTAGCTTTATTTATTCCTTTTGTAAACAACACATTTTAGTAACAATTGACAAATTGATTAACAAAGCCCTCGCACATAACAAAATTTGAATAGAATAACTATGTATAATTCTTTTTAGTGACTTATGTGCAGTATAATGTTTTTCTCCAAGGTCAAGGTGAAACTGAGATATTTTTTGTTATGGTTATTTTTAAATACACCAGTAAAGTACAAATGAACTTTATGAATGGATTAACATAAATCAATACATGTTTCATGTTGAAATGATCTGTTACATCGATGTGATTTGGATATTTTTACTGATTTCAGTATAATTTTATGCATGTACTATTACAAAAATTTCGCTAAATCACACAAAGAATTGACAATATCAACTTCGGTTCACTGTCACACTTAATTCTTTTTAAAGAAGTAACTCAGTAAAAACTTCATTCAACAGGATGTAAAAAGGTGAAAATAAAATAAAAATATAGTATGAAGAAAAGTTTCGTCGTCTTTGAATTCAGTCAGGAGTAAAGTATATGTTGATACGTTGCCAAATCCGTATATGACGATGAACAGCGAGTAGCATCGACATTTTAAGTTCGACATTTTCAAATTATAGTTTTTCAGTGATAAAAATCAAAATTCACAAGTTTTGGGTTTTTTCTTTTTAAATCGGTAAGATATTGTTGCCATGGCTGAAAATGGAACATAGGGGTAAAACGCAAGTTTTGTGTGCTATTTTGAAACCCGTTATTGATGGAGAAAATTTCACAGAACAAAATTGTTCAGTATGTAAAGATCTACCTACTGTCCTTTTTTTACCAAACTTGTCAGAGACTTTTCATAGGAGTTATTGCCCTTAAATTACGATTTTTATCAATTATTTCCGTGTTTGCCTATCATCGTGAAAACTATTATATCAGATTATTACATGACAGTTTTCATATCAGATGTTGTATCTTCCTTAAGTCAAGATATCAGCCATCGAGCCCTCAAAAAATGCATCTTATATGAAAATTATCATGTTAATATGATCTTTTTATCGCACACTTCCACTTTGAAAAATATCATTCTCTAAAAATGTTTAATTTAGAAAATATAAATCTCAACTACGCAATTTGTACTGCAAGACAACAACATAGCAAAAATCATTAGAAAGGCTACTTTACAAATTTGTCAACAAGGCCAAAGTTGTCAGTCGAATCATTATTAGAGTTATATTTAATGATAATTTTACCCAATTGTTTGCGAAACGTTTAAAAATAAAGAAAACACCAGAAATTTTTAGCAAGAGAAGATTTACAAAAATTCATCATTGCAGAAGTTGTCAGTTTACCACAAATAGGAATTATTGCTCTTTAATGATGATTTTTACCTCTTGTTTTGGGTTTTATTTTTATGAAACTATAGAAAAATAAAGAAAACCTGTTAGCAGCAAACATGACGAGAAAGATAAGATCTGCAAAAAAGTCGACGTTGCCAAATAGTCAGTTGACCCCTTAAAGGAGTTTTTGCACCGAAATGTTGATTTTTTTTATTGCTTTGTGCAAATATTATAGAAGATAGAGAGATTCTTTCAATAGCTAAAATTATCAGCCAGACCAATAAAAACGTGACCAACAAAGATAAAATTATCTATAAACAACTGATTGGAGTTATTGTCATTGAAAGATGATTTTTGCCCATATTTTGGGCAAAAACTGTGTAGATAGCGAGAAATTGTATACAGAAAAAAATATCGCCAATACAAGATCAACAAAAAATAGATTTTAGTTATGAATTATATTCGAGTCTACAATCATCGTTGCGGCAGATGCACATAGATCCATCTGTGTGACACAGGCTGTTTTGAGCTTCTTGTAAGTTGTAGAGTTTCGTTATCATTACCTTTGATTTGTTTTTAACTTCTCACTTGTTTTCCCTTTTCTTAATTGCATTATGAGTTTTCTCTTTCTGTATTTCAGCTATCAGCTGTCTGTCTCTCCCTTATTTTGATCTTGAATCATTGGTTGATTAGTTTTGCATTATCTTTTTCTTCAGCTTCTTTTAGTTTCAAAAGAACGTCAGTCTCTGTTATATTCGCCCCACTTTCAGGAATTACATAAATTTTCTTTCTTTCCTTTCTTTTGTTGTTCTGAAGTTTTTTGGTCGCTTTCATTCAGTAATATATTGATGGTTCTTACATTAAATATATTTATTAATAATCGCTAACTTCAAACGAGTCAGACATCTCGTCTTTAGCACCATTGTTGTGTTTACCATTTGAAACTTGGATTATGTTTTTGTCAAATACTCGGTAATCTTTGTTCAATTCAGTCAAAACTGTTGTAGACTCGAGGCGAATCTGGTCGAACGCGTGTTTCTTATTGGGTACGTGGTTTTATCTCTAAATAAAAATGTTATAAAACGAGTAAATTGTGTCATGGCTATTATTAGATTTGTTTAAATGATTTTTTTTCAAGCTTGAAATAAATATGTCCATTTTTGTCTCGCCTTGACGAAGTCTACAAGCTAGAATTTACTATGCTTTTTCCGGCGGCGTCATCAACAATTTGTTAAAGTTTGTGTTTATGTCAGTTTAAGGAGAACCAATTATAATAAGTCAATGATATTTGGTATGCAGTTTAATTGAAGTCTGGAACTGGCATGTCAGTAACTGCTAGTAGTCCTTTGTTCATTTATGTATCATAGTCATTTTGCTTAGTTTCTTTTGTTACATCGGACTCGGACTTCTTTTAAACTGAGTTTTACTGTGCGTATTGCTATGTGTTTCTTTATTCTACATTGGTTAGAGGTATAGGGGGAGGGTTGAGATCTCACAAAACATGTTTAACCCCGCCGCATTTGTGCGCCTGTCCCAAGTCAGGAGCCTCTGGCCTTTGTTAGTCTTGTATGTTTTTAAATTTTATAGATATAAGAAGATGTGGTATGAGTGCCAATGAGACAACTCTCCATCCAAGTAAAAATTTATAAAAGTAAACCTTTATAGGTCACAGTACGGTCTTCAACACGGAGCCTTGGCTCACACCGAACAGTAAGCTATAAAGGGCCCCAAAAAATTACTAGTGTAAAACCATTCAAACGGGAAAACCAACGGTCTAATCTATATAAAAAACGAGAAACGAGAAACACTTATGAACCACATCAACAAACGACAACTACTGAACATCAGATTCCTGACTTAGTACAGGTGCAAACAAATGCAGCGGGTTTAAACGTTTTAATGGTACCAAACCTTCACCCTTTTTCTGAAACAATAGTGTAACATCACAACATAGAAAGACACACTATAAAATATCAACTGAAATAGCTTAACTCAATCAAAGGACATATTAACACCATTGAACATACACTGAACAAATAAATTTAGTTCATTTATATGTTTTGGAGTTTATGGTGGCGTCCATTTTCACTGAACTAGTACACAATTTTATTTAGGGGCCAGCTGAGGACCACCTCCGGGTGCGGGATTTTTTCGCTGCATTGAAGACCCATTGATGGCCCCCGGCTGTTGTGTGCTCTTCGGTCGGGTTGTTGTCTCTTTGACATATTCCCCATTTCCATTCTCAATTCTAGTTGTAATAGCATTGACTCATCTTTTTTGGCCCTGCCCCCTCAGTCATGGTCTTTTGTTTTTGAAACTGAATTGTTTACATGTTAAAGTTTGTGATTAGGTCTGTTTAAGGAAAACCACTTATGATATAATGATATTTGGTTTGCAGTTATATCAGCAGTGGCATATCTTATTTCCATTTCCATGCAAATGTGAAAGTATTGCTATTGTTATTTCAACATTTGCATTTACTATCAAAACAAACAGTCGAGACATATCTCTGTGTCATCAGTTTATAGTTATAAAACTTCTATTTTAGTTCTTTGAGTCAAAGATGTCCGACTGGATTCCTCTGGTTGCACAAGTTAAGTCGATCGTCCAGATATCTGCTGGCGATGAAGAAGGTGCAAAGCAAACCCAGGAAACATTTGCAAAACGATGTCCTATTGTTTCCCAAACCGTATCTGTGTACCAAGCGTTCAACGGGAACATGGAAGGTGCAAAGGAAACACAGATGGAGTTTCTCAGCATGATAAATGACACAGTAAATAGTATTCCAATAGTAGGTCATGCAAAAGGTGTGGTGCACTATATAGCCGGTGACAAAATGGGTGGCGATGAAGCTATGAAGTCCGCCTCACATACGACTGGTACTATAGGAGGTGGTATTGCTGGATTTGGATTATTAGGACCTATTGGTGCAATTGCAGGAGGGATAACAGGAGGGGCAATAATGGATGCAACAATTACAACAGCGGACACATTAATTCATGACGAGGATAGGCCATACGGATACTTGAATCAAATAAAACAAATAAAAGAAAAGCCTGAGGATGCGGGTCAGTGGGTTGATATGGCTACTTCTCTAGCTTTTGATGGTCTTGCCGGACATGCTGCAGGAGTGGCTTACAATCAGCAAACGGCAAAAGAAACGGCCAAGGCAAAAAAGAACAGAAATAAAGGCAAAAGCCAAAAAAATCAGAAACCATCAACGAAAAAACCGAAAGTGAAATCTGAAAATAATAACAGAAATGCTGATTATAAAATACAAAAACCATC